TGTTAAACTACTTTCAAACACTATCTAATAATTTTTGTGGTAAAAAACATTATTAAGCATTGAAATTTTTTTTTTATATTTTACATTTTAAAGTTCATAAAAATGCTTGTCATTTTGCTTGGTCATTTTTAAACCATAATCTATTACTTAAAAACTGAAACTATTTTTGCACTTAAATCCTAACTTTAAGCTAAATAATAAACAGCAACATTTTGTCTATATCTTGTTCCTCAATATTCTTTTTTTTTTTTTTTATTCTTATAACAAAATTTCAACAGTCCAATAAAGCTTTAAGTTACAAATAATCTGCAAATAAAGGACACCTTTCAAAGATGCATTTTAAGCTAGTCAAATAACTTTGTCTTCTCCTCATTAACTTAATCTTCCAATGTTATTCAATTCCCACTCTTTTTTCTCATCTTTATCTCCTCCTTATTGCTTTCAATAAATCCACCTTAAAACAAATACTGAGTCAAGGTTTCTTCAGGAATCATCATCAACCACAGGTTGTGAAGAATAGTAACAAGTTCCCAATCAGGGACAACCCCTCCTGTGGTGCAAGAGAGATATTGAAAGATGTCAACCACAATGGCTAAAATACAAGAAAGGCACAGGCCTTTCCATCATTTTAATGGAAAGATTTTTTTTAGATTCCACAGCAAAGACAGCATCCCACATGAATTTCAGTTAAATGGACTGTTTCTTGTTTGAAACATTCTGTATATGAACATTCTGCTAATCATTATGACCAGTGAAGTTGGCCATGGCCAAACTGAAGTCACATGCTTAACCAAATTTCTCACTCAGATTGACTAGGTATACTGCAATATATGCTGGGATGATAACTGGCTTGTAATGTTTTGAATGTTTCTCCTCGGTTTCAATGAGTGAATTATCTTATGCGTTTGTTGTTGTTGTAGGAAAAATTCAGATTATGGCCACAGCCTGAAGAAACTAAACAAATTTTATATTTTGCAACCAGGTCACAACTCCCTAGAACAGTAACTGCTTCTTCAACAGTAGTTGTCTTCTTGAAAGTCTGAAGAATTTGAGACAACAGATAAGTCCAATAAAGTTCACAAGTTACAGAGTGTTGACAGAATGGAAAACTAGAAATGGCTGCTGACACTTATATTTTAAAATAACTTTAGAATTTCATTATTTTTGTAAAGATGAGTGTGTTTTCAAATTCTCTACATCTTCTTTGAGTAGCTTTATAGTAGAAACTGAACATCTATAGCACTATGGATATTCATTCATTAACATTTCTCATGCAACCTACATTATCTGTTACAACAGAAAATAAATTTATGGTCTCAGCTTAATAATAATGTTAAGAAACTTATAGGTGCTGTAAGATGCAATGTTTTGAAATAAAATTAAAACCTAATGTTGTAAATAACATTCAAGGGCCAAACTATGAGAAATGTGTTCAAAATATCAAATGGTTACATACAGTTGACTGAAGGAGGTCCAGATCCTTGTCTTGTACACTATTATGTCCTTTGTACTTTTTCAAAGCCTCATGCAAACCAGTTCTGAAACCAGTATTGAGTTTTCCACGGAAAATGTAGCCAGATATAGCTGCTCCCAATTCTAATACAAACACCAGCACTAAGAAAGCTGAAAGCTAAAATGGAAATGTTTTTTTTAAAGTTACATAGTTATTTGTTACAGTAAAAATATGATCAGAAGCTAAAAACTCTTAAAACACTAACCACTCTAAATTACACATCAAAAAACATTGATATAAGTTACAATATAATAAAATTACAAACTTGAACTGAATAACAGAAGTACTTAAACTATTTTAGGAGCTTTTAGAAGCAAAGATAGCAGATATACAAGCTATCAAGTTCTTTTGGATTAGAATTGGATGATTAGTAGAAGCTGCTGATCAATTATTTGTCAAGCTCATTAAATGATCCCACTTAATTGATTATTCTCATGAGACTTAGAAACACACATTTTGATTAGCTGTTTATTTTTGTGGGACACAACACTAATTGATTAAGTCGAACAACTTTGAATTGATTGAAATTAATAATAAAAAAAATCACAATGACAATATCTTGATTACTTGGACAACTGAAAACCAATAATCATAAACACCAAGTTATTATTTTCATTACATTAATCAATTTAATCATCATTTCAATTAACTGATTATTTTATGTGACATTAATTGATTAATCAAGTTAATCATCCAAAACTATTTGGAATTTTTTTTTCTATGGCTACATTGTTTAAAATGTTTCTTGATGGAGCAGAATGAAGCTTACATTATCTAAAAACTGCTCTAAGTAAAATAACAAATAAAGACAACTGACTACACCAAACACAAAATAATAAGTTACTTGTACTTTGCCTTTTTAGGATATTGTTTGTATAATATGCTCTGGTATACTTAAGAATGGGGAATTTAATATGGCTATAACAATTATTAAGGATCTAATAACAATGATTATTTTCATGTTATAACCATATGTTACATCATCTGCTCATATCCAGAAATCTGACTTGTCAATGTGAGTAGCTTGCAGCTCAACTGCTTACTTGTTGAACCAATTCATTTAGTATACATCTACACATAGTATATTACATGTACTGACATGCAGCACACAAAACACCAGAATGATCTGAATACCTGGCTAAAATGTTCTTTTCAAACAATAGGGAAGTAATTAATAAGTTAAATTTACTAAAACTATTTCAAGACACTTAGCATGAAACAAGCTTGAAAATTATTAAAGAATGTAAATATAAAGTCCATATTATTATTATTATTACTATATTTCATAATTCACTGTAATATCACTATTGATGGCATATCTTGAAAGTAAATTGCCAACTGCCATTTTAGTGTTACTTTCGTATAATGAAGTTACAAGATGTCGGTATTTTTTTTGAGATTTTTAAACATTTTTTTCTATGTGTTATATTTAAAATAATAGGACTAAAAACCTTACCAAATACAAAAGAACAGGTTGCCCTTTTACAGTGCAACAGCAAGCAAAAAATCCCACAACTGTTATAGCTGCACCTGTACCAATGAAGACATAGGGAGCTACATTGTTGTACTCATCTGAGAGCTGCAGAAACTGGTACAAGGATACTTTCATCCATATTCCAATAACTAAAAGGCCAATACCAGTTAACTGAAATTTAAACAAGGAAATGTGTATAAAAACCAGACTAATGATGGAAAAACAGTTGATATGTTGATAAAAAAATATATTCAGCTTAGTTGCTATAAAAAATTTATATTTGCAAATTTTACTTATTTCATAAACAGTAGAAACAAAAATATTTGATAGAATTACAAGTCAATTATTAACATCTTACCAAAAAGATTGTTTTTGAATTACTCCTCACTTTTACTTTTAAAAAAGAAAAATTATCCCCGATATACAATAGATACCTGTGAATATTGACTGGTGCTAGCTACTGTTAAATAGTATACATGTATGTGCAGATAAACTAACACAAACAAGCTAAAATAACTTCTGGAGGTATTTCACTCTTAGTTTTCAAAAATTAAATAAACATTGTATTACACTGCTGTACCTGTTTCCCATTTTGAATTTAACATCTTGCAAAAGTTTAATTCCATTTAAAATCTTTTATATTATGTATCATGTGATTTATATCCTCAATCTTAAAATTCTATGTCAGTCATAATTTTTCACATTATAATTAACTTTATTTGACTTCCAAACTGTACTCTTAAATGGTCAGTTTCTTCAGAATCTACTGGTGTGCAGAAGAGGGCAAGAACAGAGGTGAGTCTCTTTGAATTTAATTTTTGAGTTCAAATATTAATTTCAAACATTTTATTTTTGTCCTACCATGACCTTATTGCCAGAATCCAGAGAATGAATTGGAGGTGAGACATTAGGAAGCAGTAAGGAAAGTGTATTTTTTGAAAAGAGGAGAAAAAAAGCAGAGATTATTCCCAAAAGACTTCCAAAATGATGATGTGGTAATGAAAATTCCCAATCTTTTTCAACCAAAGACCAGCAAGTTCTGTTCTCGAAATTTCATAGACAGCTCAATGTAATATGAACTTTTTAAAGTACATCACCAGCTATATATCATTTTTTTTTTCAACCATCATGTAGACCAGTGGTTGGGAAACATTACTCTATAAAATCATTTGGTGAAAAGGAAAATTTTTAACCTGCATCAGAGAGGTACTGAGGGAAGAAGTAACAGCCTTAACTTAATCCATTGCTGAAACCACAATAAATCAAATGCTTTACAAACCTGTTGTGAAGGGACACATTCAGTTCTCACCCATACAAACCTGGATCTCTTAACAAAAACATAGAAAGTGTTAATGTTATTTACAGAGCTTAAGTCCTTTTAACTTGAGGTTTATGTATATCAATTATATTGTGGCATTACACCAAATTTATTACTTGTATTATACAGAGACCAACTGTTTGATAACATTACATACTACTTTTCATCAAGTGCAAAAACTAAAGTTTAATCTGTGACATAGAGGCTCAATATAGTCTTGGATTTGCCATACCCTCTGCTGTGGACTGCTGTTTCACAGTAAACTTTGGAAGCTTGCCAAGAAACATAGATCAGATTTACAGCAAAGTTCACCATATCAGACTGCCCAAAAGAATAACAGGTTTACAAATACTTACCATATGAAACTGAGTAAACTATCCTCCTGAAGTTAGGCATGCAACAAAGATGTACTCAACTATCATACCCTCAAGAAAGTCAAAATATAAGTAACAAGTGGCTAGATGTCCTCAGGAAGTTAGTGATGCTCCAAGTGAGGATCAAGAAACTTAACATAAGACCCAATCCAGTGAACAACAATTATCTCATTATCTCCAATTAAAGCAGAGGGTTATTATCAGTAAAAATAAATTAAACATTTCCACAAAGTATATTTGAATATGTGGAGTATAGAGATACTTGGAGACTCCCACCTGCATACTCTGTAAACATATCCCCCCCCCAAAGGAACTTTTATACTTTTGTTTTATTGCAGATAGGAAGGAGCTACTTTGGAAAAGCTTGGAAAACATAACTGGGACTGCATCATAGTCAGTGGACTCTGTGTAGATATGGCCAAGGTACTTAATAGGCATATTACAAATACGTATGCTAAAATATCAACAATGACAGAGTTTTACTTTGTTTTTCTACCCAATCAGAAAGTGACCAACCCACCAAATTGTTCATCTTTCTTGTTTCAGTTGAGATAACTCTACAATTACTTTATCACTAACATCAGTTTAAACCTAAATCCACTCTGTGATTCTGGGCAGTGCATGATGTCATTGCTTAGTTGTAATAACTAGTAGTAATTAAAAGAAAAATATAACTAGTGGAAATGATGTTATCATTACCCCTTGAAGTTACCTTTTATACATGAATATGGTGTTCCTTTAAAAAGCTTAAATACAGACTGAAACAGGAATTAACAGCCAATAATAGATGAACATTAGATGACTGTAACATGTAAAATACTCAATGCTTTGTACACTATACAATCTGTGTCTTTAGGGAGCCAATCCCTATATTGTGTATGATATGAAGGAGTAAAAAAATCAATACACAATATCAAATTTTATCTCACACATTCAAAAAATACACTAACTTTCAGTCGGGTGGGGGTGGGGGAAACGTCACAAAACAAATAATAAAAAAACATTTGGTAAATGTAAAATGATGTAGGGATTGCAGTGCCAAAAAGAATGCAAGCAAGAATTATAGATGATACAGCTATACATAGATCATCCCTACATGACTCAGTATTAAAACACTGTACCATATGATCTTAGTCAGTTGATTCTCCAAAAATATAAAAGGATCTATGTATAATGGCAAACTATATACATCAAATGCATATTGAGGTACAAAGAAGCTGAGACTATTTAATACTTTTACTGTTTCTGACTGGAATAAAAAAAGGCTAAAAATAAGGACAATCCCAGTTTTACTGGTATATCTGATAACCCTAATCTTGACTCTACTTGCAATTCAGCTTATCAATAAGTTCTGAAACAGGCTAAATGTATTGTACTATTACATAAATATCATGTAAAGGCCAGTTATTTGTCATTTATATTTTACAGCAAAACTTAATTATTTTAGTTTGACGGTAAAATAATGATAAATTAATTTAATATATTTAATTCTCAAACTTCAGGCTTAACAGTGTTACCAATAGGCTACTTGTGTTTAGTATTATCTATTGCCAAACTAAATTGGTTAAGAGTAATGTATGTGTTAAGCACTCACTGGGTGGAAAAGTGGGTTTTATTTGTGAACTTTGAATGACATGCACTTTTAAAGATGCTAGTAGTGAAGATATTCAATTTTTATGTAAAGTTTGCATGTTGAATGAGTTATCCTATAGGGATGGGTAAAGATTTTTTAGCTATTTTCTCTTGAGAAAAGAAGGGTAAGAGTTTATACAGTGTTCAAGTTTATCCAGTGGATTGATAGGATAAAGGCTTCTGATTTCTTTGTGCTATATTCCAAAGATAATAGGATTGGAGGACAGAAACTTAAAATTTGAACGACAGCATAAGCTCCAATTAAAACAGTTTTATTTTTTAACACAATAACAAGGTGATTGACTTGTCAAACAAGTTGCATTAAGCCAGAAGTTTAAGAGACGAATCAATAATTTCCTGAAAAATGAAGGGTAGGTTTAAATTTTCTCTTTTTAGGGATGGGTATGCAAAGACAACTTTTAATTTTAATGACCTAATGGTCCCTTGTTGTCCATATGTTATCCTAAAACCCTAAGATTCTTATTAAGAAGGGGAAGGAATCAAATATTTCCAAAGTAGTTTAATGTGGGTGCCAATGTGTTTTCTGTCCATCAAATTATAAAACAATTACTTTAGCTTCTGTTGTCAGCAAGGTATAAGAATCCATCTGATATTATTTGGAAAAAGAAAACAGCTTCACATTTTATATTTGATATCAATTAAAATGGTTTAAAAAGAAGTTTTCCTATCTAACAAACTTTTTTGAAATTGGATTCTTAAGGTACTACTGAAAACTTATAAAAAAAATATTAAATAGCCTATGTGAAATGCCTAACTGAATATTTTATTGTGCAGGAACTAAAAATCTAAATAAACTGTCAATGATAAATTTAAAGAAATTCTTTATAAATTATAGTCTGTGAACTAGTAAGTAACCAACTTCAAGGTGTTAAACTTAAAGCTAAAAACTTGCAATCTAATTGTTAGAGAGTATGTTAGACAAATACTCAAATAGTATTTCTAGTGCTTATACAAGTTAAACTTTCATTTATTTCATATTTATATAGTTTTACTAGTAGTAGTACTTCTACTACTAGTAGCAGTATTACTTTCAAGGGATTCACACACTTTACTTACGGCTTGACTCGATTACCTCTATCTTCAGTCTCTCTATCTATATCATTCCTGCTTTATTTGCCGGGCTTATATACTAAAAAAGAGGGCGCATGGAACAGACTAGAGTTGCCAGGACAATTCAAGATCCTTCGAGAATCTCATGACTTTTACCAGTGTCACATGACTTCGGCTGTCGTAACAATACGTTATTGAAGTTACATAATTATTTTAATTCTAAGAATTAAAATATACAATAAATAGTCCTTGAAAATTATAAATACAGTGTTTCTGAGTGCTTAAGTGTGTTTCTTTCTTTTTAAATGTCAAGATGAAATACATGGTTTTAGAAATTGCTAAATGGTTATTTAAATCATCGGATAGTTTGTCCTCTAGCGATAAAACGTAGAAGCTTAAGGTCATTGGATTAATTTCTGGGCTTTACACAAACGTCATAGTAGGGAGATAGAAACAGTGCGGTAGTTGCTTGTCATTTTTAGGTAGGAAAGGTTACTGCGTCAAGAAAACGTTAATTGTAGTTAAGATAACTTAAAAGTAAGCAACCTGTCATTTAATACTCACGTTTAACTTGAATATAAAACACAGTTAGAATAATGGGGAGACGTTTGCAGACAGAGGCAGCATTAACTTTCATGAAGATCTGCCTTATGGTATTTAATTTCATATTTTGGGTGAGTAACGTAACCAGATGGTTCTTGTTAAGATAATGTTCTATTCTAAATTGATTATATGCTTCATTCCTAAGGAAGTCAGAACATGTATGTAATATGTTTCTGAACTTTATATTTTAATTCGAAAGAGCATTAATTTAAACATCAATGCGATTTATTGATGTCATTAGTTCCCAGTTTGACTATTGATTAAATTAATTGCATTATATAGTTTTACTAGTAGTAGTACTTTCATTTATTTCATATTTATATAGTTTTACTACTAGTATTAGTAGTATTACTTTTACTTGTTTCATATTCATATAGTTGTACTAGTTGTAGTATTAATTTCATTTATTTCATATTTATATAGTTTTACTACTAGTAGTAGTATTCTTTTCACTTATTTCATATTTATATAGTTTTACTAGTAGTAGTAGTGAATTATAGCGTGTGTTTATAAAAGTAGTTAAGTTAAAGTGACTGTGGAAATTCTGTGTATTACAAAGTTGTATCGAGAAAGAATAAACTAGTTTTAATCAAGAAGGTACTTGTATCGCTGAAGTTGCTCGGAAATAATTTATACCGGAAATTAACAAACACACAGATACGCAACAATACGTTGCTACAGCTTGCACATCTCAGAATGTATTACAGTTGTGTAAGTATTTTCCTTTTCTGCCCATTTTGTATTACTTTCCTTCTTCCTGGGCAAAGATCATACCTGTTCCAGAAGTAATGAAGTACCCCATAGGTGTGCTTCATTCTCATCTCCGAGCACACCATATAGGTAGTTACCTCCTCTTACACACTTTCCACCCATCCTCCCCACTAATGATGCTCTTATTTTGGTACCTGTCAATTCTCGAAAGTGAGGATTAAGCAGGAATAGCAGAGAGAGCTAGCAGCACTAGTATAGATAGTACAATACTATTGGTGGAGAGTAGTCACATGATATGTACATGTTCAGAAATGGTGTGAAACTGATGGGGTATAAAGGCACTGATTACAAAAAATTTTTTTAGCAATGCTTTGTGAAAGAGAGTTAAGTACCTGTCAGAAATACATTTTCAGTGTAAGAAAATGTTAACATCTGTGTTTCTGGTCTAATGGGAAAAAAAATTATTATGGTGTTCAGACCATAAAGATCTAAAATATACAACAATATGTAGTTGTGAGGAATATTTTTCAATTGTAACTACTGTATTACAGAGCTGTAATTTTTTTTTTCATTCCCTGTATCCCAGAACTGTGTTCCGGATTGTATCTGTGAGGACTCTTGGAACAACACTTACACATGCCTCAGAACACTTTCTTCTTCTGAAAACAGCATTATTTGTGTTTTCGATGATCACCAGGTATGATATTTCAGGTGCTATATATATATATATTTTGTGTCTCCAAAGATTTTTGTATACATAATGATTTGTATTTTTAAAATAATTATTTTTATATTCTTTGAAGTTTATAATGTGAGTAAAAAACATGAAATGAATAGCATTGATGAATTTCTTATGGTTAGATAATATATTTGAGACAAAAGAACACTTTTTATTTAAGTACATTTGGTCTCAGTTGCTTTATAATTTCTGTCTCCAGAAATTTGCTTTCAGCATGAAAAATAAAACTTTTTAGTTTTTTAAATTTATTAATTGTAAGAAAAAACTGTTCTTTAATTTGACCACTATCATATGTAGACCTTATTTTTCATGTAAAAAAAATAATGTGCTTCACAGGAGGAGTTCATTAGAACTGGGCAATTAATAGAATCCACTAGTCAATTATTTTCACATGAGATGGCTAAAAAAAATTAAGAAAAGCGATTATACTTACAAGATGGCTCAAAAAAATGTTAATGCAAAAAATTGGGTTACGATTTTGATATCCTTTGTAGGCAGGTCATAGCACAGATAGCCCATTGTGTAGCTTTGTGCTTAACAACAAACAGAATGACAATATTTCAATTACTTGGGTATTTAAAATAATTGAAAATAGCAATAATTAGATACCCTAATTTTGAATATTTTTGTGAGTTATAACACTAATTGACTATGCTGAACAAGCTTGAATTAATTGAAAATAATAACAAATAGTCATAATGGCAATATTTCAATTACTGGATAGATGGAATAATTGGAAACTAATTTTGATTAATTGATTATTTTATGTGACAGTAATTGATATTCATTGGTTATTAATTTTGTCTATTAATTAAGTTAATCACCCAGCTCTAGTGTCCATATTTCCGTATTTGTTTAGTTGATCTTTACTTTTATAATTTAGTGTGACCTGAGCTAAAATGTAAGTTGCAGGATCTTGTGAGACCCTAGAGCCATTGGCCATGTTTTTTTCTTGATTATAAAATGATAAATATAAGTAGTTGTTACTTTTAGTTTAAATAATAGGTTGAACAATCACCAAGTTTTTATACATATATATATATTTTTTATTTATTTAAAGAAGGATGATGTTTCGAGCTAGCACTCTTCGTCAGATAGTACAGTTACGATCTGATGAAGAGCATTAGCTTCAAACATCATCCTTCTATGAAAAAAAATAATAAAAAACTTGGTGCTTGTTCAACCTATTATTTAATTTTGTTATTTGTGTTGCCTATGCAGTTTTAACTATAGTTACTTTTAATTTGTATACAACAAACCTTAATTGATAATTTTCAGCTTGACTATACCTTGGAATTTGCAATAATTACATACTATAAATTTGATCACCAGTTACTAAAACTTAGTTAATTCATTCTTGGATCACTAACTTTGATTCAATTCATATAAATCTCTTAGAAAAACCATGTTTGAAATGTGATTTATCACTCTGTGCAACCAATAAATTGTATCACAATCTAAGAATTAAAAGTATATAATAATGTATACCATGTGCTGTTAACTTGTCTATCAAATTTGTCAAATTTCTTTCAAATGTTTATTTATGATTTATGCTTGATCACTTAAGTTTACCATGAGAGAAAATCTCATGAAAGTTAGGTTTCAGTTATTCATATATTTCTTTTGTATCCTTATTGTTTACTAACATAGATTTGAAATTAATTTCTTATGTTCTACAGAATTTTGTGGAGATCTACAATATTACAGCTGACCCTCACCAGCTTCATAATCTATATTTTATGGACACTTGTAGATAAACTTAGCAAGAAACTGATATCATACAAGTTTTGTGAAGAAGCTAGTTTTACTAATATCGATCAGAACCTTAAGGAAGCATGCAGATAAAGATGGGCATACAGATGTTGTTTTATCACAAGACATAAAGAAGTGCCACTTCTGAACAAATTTCGGTATTAATTTATCTAGTATCTTGGTGAAGTACATTAAACTCTAATCCAATTATTGGCTTTTGACACAATAATGAAAAATTAGAAACACTGTTATGAAAATTATTAGTTAAGCATTAAGATATAAATATTATTTTAAACCATATATTGAGCCATTCTCCTATATCAACAGAGTGTATACCAGTCCTTGAGAACCTTGAAACTACTTAATTTTTGATGTAGCCAAATTCAAGAATGCTTGAATGTCTTTAAGTTACAATTTTGTGACTTTTATGTTTGTGCTTATTGGAAAAGTCTGGAAATTGCACAAGCTTATATATTTCATAAATTGTCCATCCAAAATATTGTAAATGGAAGTACACATGCAACATGTTACAGTACAAAAAGTTCCATGTTGGTCATGATGCTAATAGTATTATATGTCAATGTTTCTAGCATAATCAGAAGTATTTAATTTAATGTTCTGTCTGCAAAAAAAATAGGAATATTGGTTACAAAATGCACGTTAAAATTCATTGATATGTTGCTTGAAGAAATATGTAGAATTTTATGTGTTACTGCCCGAGTTTTTGTTTATGCAGTTTAACTTTAAAACACATGAGTGCATTGATTTGATGCATTCAAAACTCTATATAAGCTTTCAACAGCTTTATATATCTTTTAAAAAATGAAATATTTCTATGCAAGCTTTGCATTTTTTAAAAGATGTTGTTTAGGTGCGTTGTATATTTTAATTACTGATTTTCCTTCTACAGCTTTTAGAGCTATTACAAAATAAAATTTTTATATGCAATCTTTGTATGGATTTATAGCTGTGCATTTTGGAAAATTTGTTATTGTGATATGTGTAATTTTAACACAATTAATGCTTACATGCATTATATATTTTAATTACTGATTTTTGTTTTTCTACTTTCTAATAAAGTTTTTATTTTATAAAACTGTAAATTATATCTTTCTTTATTTAAAAACTGCACACAGTTTCACAGTGCATACGATCACTGGCATAGTAAAAATAACTTTTATACCATACCAAAATTATAAGCAAGCCACCTTTTTTTTTAATTATTTATCAGTCTCATTTAATATATGTAATAAGGTTTAAACTCATTTTATATTCAGCTGTATATTTTTATGTTTCTTTTCAGTGATTTCTTTTGCCCATTTAAATAGTTACTTATGCCAATAAGGCCTAATGTAAACACTGGTTCAAAACCACTGCCTTTTCAGCAAAACAAAACTTGAATACGTAAACTGTGAAGTCATCTAATTAAGCCTGTTTCTTTACAGGAAAGCATTTCTTTTACTATCATACTACAACATCATAATTTATATTGTGTAGAAAATTATGAACAAGTTTAAAACAAATCAGGAATGTAATTGTAGTGAAAATTGTTCCCAAAAGTCTTTTATTCTTGCAACATGTCACCAAGCTCAGCTTTTATCACTTTGTTTCAACTAGAAGCTGTATTGAGACACACAGTTTAAAAGAACAAAGAAAGGGCTTTCATTATGTGTTTAGATCACTAGCCTGTTGTTTCTCAAAGCTAAGTTACAAGGTTCATATTGGCTCTGTTTTTTCAAAACTATTTCGACTTTCCTCCTGGGGAAACAAGTGTCATAATACCCTAAGAAAAATTCAGAAAATTCACAAATACTAATTGTTTTTGTTTGTAACACAGTGAAATCAACTCAAAAATCAAGATTTTAGATTTTTTAAACATTTTTTATTCAATAAATACAACATTTTACTAAATAAATGTTAACTAAAGTGTTTTAAAAAAATATGTGTAAGAACAAGTTCAAGTTTAATTTCTACAATTTTTTATTCAATGGTGAAATATTTTCCTTTGGGCAGGTTGAACCTAACTGGGCAACAAAGGTTAATGAGCAAATGTTGTATGTGCCACTTTACCTGAAACATCAGTTTTATAATAATGTAACTGCATTTCTAAAATCAGACGACTCAGTGTGTAATGGAAGTTATGGAGAATAATCTGGTACATAAGTGACTGACTCTGGGAAAGCAGCATTTCATTTTTGATATTTTTGCCACAAGTTAATGAACTTAGAAATATAGCTGTGAAAAAAGTTATCTTAGTAAAGGTGTAAAACTAGCTAAGGTATGGCTTAATAAATATCCTTGATTTTGATAGGCAACATTTAGCTCTTAATGGAAAATATTTTTTTTAAAAAAATTGTAAACTATTGTCATACAAACTTTAAAAAATGAAGATTTTCAAGTTATAAAATAAGCCTCTTCAGCATGTTTTGGTAGGTGAGTTGTTCAGAAAATGTAGAAAAATGCCTCTTTGAATCTCAGAATGGGTAGTTTTCTAGGAAGTAAAACGTTTTTCCAGTTGTAACTGCTATAAATAATGGAAGTAAACTGTAGTGTTTCATGTCCTGTTTATGTACTGCTATTTCATAATTATGTATTAGTGAAAAGGCAGATGATTCTTTATCCATTTTAAATATATACTTTCATACTTGTACAAACTTTACAACATTCTTGTATCACAATAATAAAATGCTCCTTTAAAATAATTTGATTTGGTTTCAATGTGAAATTTAAATTAGTGGAGGAGTTAGGATATAGTTATATTACTCCAAATAAACCAAAAGGTCTAAAATGCTTTGCAAATTGTATTAGCATCTACACAGTTAGAATGTGAAGTCACAAGAGATATTTCAGGACATACCAGTGGGAATAAGAAAATTATTATTTTAGTTCAGCAGTCACCTCATGGAATAAACATATGGTCAAAGTAATTTGAAATAAAGTACATTCTTATAATAATATACTACTTGTTTTATGTATATAGCAACCCTTTGTTTATTTAATGAAAGCTCACTGTAGTTCCATTTTTTTTTAGTACATTTAACCTTGAATTAATAATAATAATTCAGTATTAATTTTCATTTTTATCTTTATTAGCATTTCATATAAAAATAAAAATTTTTCCCCAACTTGGGTATCGTGTCAATAGTTTCAAATGAAACTAATCTCAACAAAGAATATCCTTGTTACATTTTTTTCATTCCAGTTAAGCTTACTAGGCTATTTAAGTTTCTTTATATAATAAGTTGAAACTTTGCTATTGTTCTTCAGCACTGAAAAATGGAATTCTCTCTAAAAAATAATTGAAGCATTCGATTATAATCAGACAATTTATATATCTAATTTTTTAATTTACTTTCCAAAATTCTTAGAAAACAGATAAAGCTCAACTACACAAAAGATTACCTTTTCTATATAGGGAAAACAAGATATAAATATTAGAGAAATATGAATCACTCCAAATATCAGTTTCTTTGATTTAAACAAAAATACATTTCAGTAACAAAACAAGTGTAAGTGTAGTTCACAAATTTGCTGGCTTTACCCACTTGTAGGTTCCATAAAACTTGAAACCCTTCTTTTGACATAATTCATCAGCTTCTTTTGGTCCACGACTGTAAAAAGTTCAAGAATTAACATTTTACACCTGTTTTATCTTCATCCAAGCTGATATAGGGAAAACAAACTTAGTCTAATATACTTATATAACTGTCTAATAGGGCTGTAATCTTTCGCCGAAATATTTTCATATTAATGTCAAAATCTGTTAATAATGTGTATAATTTCGTTATACCTAAACGTCCAGTTCTGATCTCTTTAATGATTTTTTTATTTTTAGAAAAGCCATAAAACTACTCCCAATATGTAGAAATTGGAAATACTTTACGTACTCTCTTTACTTCTGGCATAAATATATATATATATACGGCTTTCATGAATTATTGATTCCACTCAGTAAACAATCAGTATCTATAGATTGCTGTAAAGGAAAGTTTAAGTTACTCACCTTCCATAGGTATAGGATACTAGTTTTACATCCTGTTTCTCAATTCTATGTAGTATTGGAGTAAAGATTCGCCAAGCTTGTGCTAGCTCATCACTTCGAACAAAATGGATTTGACTTCCACAAAATACATCCAGAATAAGTCGTTCATAAGCATCAGGCATTACAAGCCCCTATTAATAATAATAATGAATTGTGGATTTTGAGTCATTGTAACAATCCTGAAATATGTTCTTTACTAAAACATATTCAAGCTGAAAATGGTATTCTAAACGGTAGATTCATGATGAAAAAGGACATTATATTAGCAAAGTTTTATCATTACTTATTGTGTGTGTGTGTGTGTGTGTGTGTGTG